CGAGTTCAAGCCCTAATTTACACACACACACACACACACACACACACACACACACACACACTAGTTGGGTGGATGACAAAGGATTGTTTCCTGGCAATTCAGAAGGTGTAAGTGGTGAAATAGGATTATTAGACCATTTGAATTGAACAGAGTTGCCCAGAACTGTCTCCAGAGAAAAAGGGACAGCCTAGGCTGGGTACCCATCCATTTATGCATTTAGTTAACAAAAAGGCTTCAGTCAGACACTATAAACAGGGGTGCCTTGATCAGGGAGCAGACTATAAACAAATACATAAGTGTGAGGATGATCTCATCTGGTGATGAGTGTTGAGAAAACAACATGGGGTGAAATGAGTAACTGACTTGGTACCTTAGACTAGGTAGTCAGGGAAGGTGTTTCTGGAAGTGACATTTGAGTTGCCATAGGTAACAAGGAGCAGATATCTAGTTAGAGTGAGCTAGGTAGAAAAAAACAATTGTAAAACCTTCAGGTAAAAACAAGTTCAGCATGTTCTAGAAAAGGAACAGGCCAGGTTGGCTGCTGAAGAGGAAAAGGGAATAGGTAGAGATAGCAGTAGTCAAGGTTGGATAGCCAGAAAGGTGCACCTTACCTAGAGCCTTGTTGACACTTTTTCAAGTACTGTGGAAAATCACTTGAGGACTGTGGGACAGGATGCACAGTACATCAGAGGTTTGTTTTTTTTTTTGGGGGGGTCCGGTCGTGGGGCCTGAACTCTGGGTCTGGACGCTGTCCCTCAGCTCTTCAGCTCAAGGCTAGCGCTCTACCACTTGAGCCACAGCGCCACTTCTGGCTTTTTTCTTTTTGCTTATGTGGTGCTGAGGAATCGAACCCAGGGCCTCATGCATGCAAGGCAAGCACTCTACCACTGAGCCACCTCCCCAGCCCGCAGAGGTATTTTTGTCGTTGTTGTTTATGTTGTGTTTCTGATGAATAGATATTCTTTTGGACTTGCGTCTTAGATTGCTGCCCCCCTTTTCACTCCTCTAGCTGGTATGTTCGTGTCCTGGACCCTTAGGATTTAAGGCAGATTGATTATCATTCTCACTGGTAGGGAATTCTCTTTTGGCTATGTGTTACAGGTCTATATTTGAGGCCTGGCAGACAGTGAGTTTAAGGAAGATGGCCATGGCTGGTGCCTGATTTCAAAGGACCTACTATAGCTTGGCATTCCCCATCAGCCCTCAAATATCATATGTCTGTGTGCCAGACAAGTTAGTGATAATGTCTTCTCTATCACTTTTCTGCATCTATATTCCAAGTCCCAGTAGGCCAGCATCTAACTCTCAGATTGTAAAACAGCATTGGGACTTTGAAGATTTGGGATAACTGAAATCACTGTTTATTAAAACAATGTTTAGGGGTTGGAGGTGTGGCTTAGGTATAGAGTGCCAGCCCAAGTGCAAAAGAAAAGTTAGTAGCTTCTCTTAGTAGACATGAGGCTAGACACCTGTGGCTCATGCATGCCTGTAATCATAACTACTTGGAGGCAAAGATCAGAATTGTAGTTTTGGGCCAGCTTAAGCTGGTTTGTGAGTCCTTGTTTTAGTAGTTGGATGCAGTGGTATACTCATGTCATCTTAGGCACTTGGGAGGCTGAGATTGGAAGGATTGCTGTTTCAGGCCAGCCTGCTCACCCCCCAATCTGCCACTCCCCCTAAAAAAAAGTTCAAGGAATCTTTGCTCAACAGAAAAATGTTAGGCATCATATACATGCCTGCCATACTAGCTATGATGGGAAGTGCCTGGCAAAAATGCAAGAGATCTTATCTCAAAAATAACCAGAGTTGCTGAGTGCTGGTGACTCACACTGTAATCTTAGCTACTTAGGAGGCTGAGATTTGAGGATCACAGTTTGAAGCCAGCTGGGATAGGAAAGTCTATGAAACACAACTCCAGTTAACCAAAAGCTGAAAGTGGCACTCTGTTAGCTACTTCGGAGGCTGAGATTTGAGGATCACAGTTTGAAGCCAGCTGGGATAGGAAAGTCTATGAAACACAACTCCAGTTAACCAAAAGCTGAAAGTGGCATTCTGTTCAAATGGTAGAGCACAGTACCTAGGCTGTGAGTTCAAGCTCCAGGACCAGCATATACATAGAAAAAAAGCCAAGTACGAACATGAGGTCTGGAGTTCAACTTCTAGTTCCAGCGCACACACACACACATACACACACACACACACTCATACACACACAGACACACACACTCACACACACAGACATCCCCATACTTCATCTCGCATACTATCCCCCACATGGTGGTATTTGTCTTTGAGCTTTCATTTCAGTCTTTGTCCCTTTAACCTCCACGTCTAGCTTCCTTACCTTTATGTTTTTGTGTCCTCACTGTTGGTGCTATTTCTTCTGGTTGACGTACTCTTTGCCAGGGCGTTCCCTCAGGGCTGCCCAACCTAACTGTGGGGCTGAAGGCAGAAGATATAACTTAACTCTTTTTGGGGTGGTTTTTTTTCCCCCTTCCGTCGTCGGACCTGAACTCTAGACCTGGGTGCTGTCCCACAGCTCTTCAGCTCGAGGCTAGCACTCTACCACTTGAGCCACAATCCCATTTGTGGCTTTTTCTGTTTATGTGGTGCTGAGGAATTGAACCCAGAGCTTCATGCAAGGCAAGCACTTTACCACTGAGCCACCTTCTCAGCTCCAACATACTCATTTTTTTGCAACTTTTTATTGGGTACTGCGCATGACACGGATACTGTGGAATTGGAACATAAAGGGCAGAGATGTGAGCCTGGGGAGCTGTGCACTGCTTATAAAGGAAAAGTTAGTGTAGGGATACATCTACAGCCTAACTCTTCAGAAATGTGACCCCGGCAGCAGCTGAGATTAGATGTGGGTCTTGAGCTTTTCCCACTTATTGATATATTTCTTGGCAGAATATCAACTGGACACACCTTGTGTTTCTATGTACAGGCGTGGCTGGATCCAAGCTCTCTCCTCTGGTTGTTTCAGACTTACACGACTTTTCCTAGTCATCTGAGCCCTTAAGCTTCTATTTTTAGTGCCACTACCTCTTAGGGAACCTAAAATAAAGCTGGCTTAGCTTTCTGTTTCTTCATTGGCTGGAGTGTTGGTTAAAGGCTGGGAGGTTGGCTGCATTCTCACTGGCTCTCTATATTGTCCCTCCTTGCTGCCTCCTCCAGCCTTGGGTGAGGTACAGGCAATGCAGTAAGCTAGCATTTACCATATTGATTCAAGACTTAACCACGTTACTTTAGTAAAGGTGTGCAACAATCAGCAATCTCAGTGTTTAGCAATCTCAGAGTTAGCATCTCTATTTTACAGGGAGGATTCTGAGGCCCTAAAGGGCAGTGACATCAGATCCTACCACTGCCAATGGTTCTGCTGAAATCAAACTCACTTCCTCATTGCTTTTTTTGGCATAGAGTCTGGCTTTCTTGTACTTTTGGTCAGATAGCTATAGAACAATACATGGGTCCACAGTCGTAGTGTCTACAGGAAGATGTGGTCCCCCTCCCTAGGAGGAGCCTAACAAAGCCAGAGTGGCTGCTGTCTTTACTTGGAGTTTGGCTTTTCATCCTGCATCCTGAGGATCATGATGTCTAGCTGAGAAGATCTCCCCTCAGCTCTTGGGATGAAAGCAGTGCTGTGATAAGAAGAAAGAAATGACATGTTTTCCCCTTCACAGTCTCATTGATTTCTCTACACCCCTTATCTGCTCCTATGCTGGTATCATGCTCCTAGCTCTGAAGTGGGTAGAAATCTCCTTCATCAGTGAAGTACCAAAAAAAGGGCCAAGTCAAGTACACCTGGCTTCAGGGATGTCAGCTGTCCCTTTGGAACTAAGGGAAACTGATGAAATCACTTGCTTAGCCAGGCACCAGTATCTCATGCCTATAATTCTAGCTACTCAGGAGGCTGAAGTCTGAGGATCAAGATTTGAAGCCAGCCCAAGCAGACAAATAAAGAGCCTTATCTCTGACCAACAAAAAGCTGGACTGGAGGTGTGGCTCAAGTGATATAGCTGCAGCCTGGAATGAAAAACCCAAGCACGAATGCAAGGCTCTCAGTTCAAGCTCTAGTCTTGGCAAATACATACCTCCACCCCCCCCCCCCCCCCCCCGCCCCGCTCCCAGCCACCAAAACACACACACACACACACAAACCCTGAGTATCAGTGGCCCACATCTATAAATCCTATCTATTGAGGAGGCTGAGATCTGAGGATTATGGTTTGAAGCCAGCCCAAACAGGAAAGTCCATGATACTCTCTGATTTACTTGCCCTTCCCCACCCCATGTGGGCCTGCATCTGTCTCCTCCCCCCCTCCCCCACGCACACAAAGGGAAGCTGAGAGCTGTGGCTCAAGTGGTAGAGCGCTAGTCTTGAGCACAAAAGCTCAGGGGCAGCCCCAAGGCCCTGAGTTCAAGCCCCAGGACTGGCACCAAAAAAAAAAGGATTAACTTGTCACAAGTGGTGTCTTGAAAAACCATCATCCCTCACTCACTGGGTCTTTCTCCATCTGCCAGCAAAGTCCTGGGACAGTATTGGGAGCTTGAATGTCACATATAGACATCAGTAATTCCTGGTCTGAAATGGAAAGAATAGAAGCAACTCTGGCCTTATTACAAGTTGTTGAGAGGATTAAATAAAATGATACGGGGATTTGGGACTGGGGAAACTATTTAGCTCCTTCAAGACCTTCCCTTCCTTCATTGGACATTGTAGGGACTACTCTGGTTTTGCTGTGTCGTGGCTCCACCCTCAACACCCGTCATGTGTGCTCTACAGCCCTGGCCACCCCTGTCTCAACCAGGAGCTACTCAAAGGAAGGGCTGAGTATGGTCCTCTGGGTTCCCAACACTGGTCTGGCATGGGAGGAGTCTCCCACCCCCAGACTGATTCCTGTGCAATCAGGCCAGGGAAGAACAGGGGCCAGTGGCTGGTTACCTCCTCTTCCCAGGATACCAACACTTCCATCACTGTCTCACTGGTCTTGCAGGTCTCAGCGAGGCTGGGTGACGCTCCAGGATGGGAGACAAGCCAATTTGGGAGCAGATTGGATCCAGCTTCATTCAACATTACTACCAGTTATTTGATAATGACAGAACCCAACTAGGCGCAATTTATGTAAGTCTCTAGTTCTAGAATCCATGTAGTAGGACCCCAGGGAATCAATTCGGATATTGGGGCCAGTGTGTCCAGTTCATGAGTTTTGAAGGTTCTTACTGGAGTGCTTGTACCTCTCAGTAGTTTCTGTGTATAGGATGAAAACTACTGATTACTGGGTTCATACATTTCTGTCTTCCACAAGAGTGGAGATTGTGGTATCCTTTAAAGGGAGTGAGGGCTTGCTATTCATGTGGCCAGCACCTTGTCAGGGCATCTGGTCCCCAGAATGCCTGTTGCAGATTGGGTAGCAGCAGGCGGCGGCTATGGCTTATAGTACCCCTGGAAGGCAACACTGATGAGTATCTTCACTGCAAAGCTGAGCCCTTGGAAGACAGAAGTGTAAAACACTTCTTTTGGGGGCAAAAGCCCCTAGATACTCATGGAAAACAGAAGAGGTTAGCCCAAGGAAGCCAATCCTTTGAAAAACTTTTTATCTGTATACATTTAATGATACACAGTTAATGGGGCTACTGCTATCAGATCTGCCCAGGATAGAGATGATTCACACATAGCCTCAGAGCCTGGTGGCCTGTGAATAGTCATCTGCCTCCAAAATATCAAGGTGCACTCAGATATTTTGGGGAGTGATGGTAGTTTGAACTCAGAGCCTGGTGCTTGCTAGGCAGGCACACTGCTACTTGAGCCACACCTCCAACCACCACTCAAAATATTTTTGGGCAAAAAAAAGAAATCTTAGGCTGGAAATGTGGCTTAGTGGTAGCGTGCTTGCCTAGCATGCATGAACCCCTAAGTTCATTTCCTTAGTACAGAAAAAGCCGGAAGTAGCACTGTGACTCAAGTGGTAGAGTGCTAGATTTGAGCAAAAAAAGAAAAACAAAAAACAGGGGTTGGGGATTTAGCTCAGTGGAAGAGCACTTGCCTGGCGAGTGCAAGGCCCTGAGTTCGGTCTTCAGCTCTAGAAAAAACAACAACAAAAGAAATCTTACTTGGAAAATACCAAATCTAGTACAGAGACTATTTGTTATGAGTAGCTTTTTTTCCCTCCAGTACTAGGGAGTCAACCGAGTTTCATGCATGCTAGAAAGTGCTCAATCACCGTGCCATAGCCCTACTTCCTCACATTCTTTCTCTCTCCCTCTCTTTTGAGATCTTCTTGCTATATTGTGTTTGGAATCTTCCTGCCTTAGCCTCCCCAGTAGCTAGGATTATGGGTCATTGTCTCATAATTAATGCAGGCTTAACTCAGAAAAGAATTTCATCAAGGTCCTAAAAGTATGTATATTTCAAAATCCTAAGCACATTTCCCCTTTGAAGAGGATTAGGAAACAAACAGAAAAATAAGTAACTTGCCTGATGTCACAGCTGAAGTAACAAAGATCCTTTTAAAGAAAGCCCCTGAAGGCTGTGAAAGGAGGGGTGGTTTAAGAGTTGGGGTGCTAAGCTACTATCTTCTGATAGAAGATAAAGAGTCCAAGGTTAAGCCTTAGGAGGCCTTGTCAGCTTCAATCACCCTCAAAACCTCACTCCCTTGTTTGTGATTTAACTCTGAAAGGCCACAGTTGAACTCACCACAGCCTTGGAGGTGGTTATCTCTAATAACATTTCTGAGACTGATGCTTACTGCTGCCATGCAACAGGATGGGTTTTGTCTGAGCCTTGGCCACATGTGTCCTTCCTGGGATCCATGTATATCAGAAGCCATATGACTTGAGTGAAATTGGGAAATAAGCTTAATAACTGTATTTTGTTGAATAGTCTTTCAGAGTCCATGAACCAATGGGTATAATTTTTGAACTTGCTAACTAAAGTTTGGGAGCTACAATTTGTCTGCTTATTATACAGAGAAATGGAAGTGTGGACTCTGTTCTGACCTATACCTTTTTCAGGGCTTTAGATTAGTCCTTGTGCTAAGACATGGGTTTTCTGTTTGCTCTGCAGATTGATGCATCATGCCTTACATGGGAAGGACAGCAGTTCCAGGGAAAAGCTGCCATTGTGGAGAAGTTGTCTGTAAGTAAAACCAGAGCTGGAATGTGGGTAACTTCTTCCTTGCCTCTTTGGTTTCAACCACTGTCCACCCTTTTTCTTGCAGAGCCTTCCGTTCCAGAAAATCCAGCACAGTATCACGGCACAGGATCATCAGCCCACGCCAGATAGCTGTATCATCAGTATGGTTGTGGGACAGCTCAAGGTAGTGCTGCTATAGTGTTAGGGTAGGGACAGGTCAAGCAGACCCTGAGTCCCTGCTTTATCTTTGAATGTGACTAGGAAAGCTGTGCTTATCAGTGGATACCCAGACAAAGTATCTGTCCAGAGCCTATAGGCCCTTGGAATTGAAAAGGACATTCTTCAGCTGGGGTAGTAAACAGTGCTACTTACCACCTGCTTTCAGATTCTTCCTACTGTTTCTCTTTAATCCAGAGGTCCCAAATAACTGGTTTGCCTCTTTTCTTACATTAGTTCCCACAGAAACAGGTGATCTTGGAGATAGTACTGGTTCTCTGGGTTCCTTCAACTAGGCTTTCTGTTGAATTTCTGCTTTTGTTTGTTTGTTACTGTTTTTTGCTTGTCCTCAAGCTTGAACTCAAGGGTCTGGGCACTGTCCCTGAATTTTTGTGCTCAGGTCAAGTGCCTCCACCAGTTGAAGTACTGCTTCATTTCTGGCTTTTTGGTAGTTAATTGGAGATAAGAGTCTCAAGGACTTTTGAATTGCAGTCCTCAGATCTCAGCCTCCTGAGTAGCTAAGATTATAGGTGTGAGCAGATGGTGCCTGGCAATTTTCTGCATTTTGGCTAGAGGTTATTTTGCCTTTTTTTTTTTTTTTTTTGGTCAGTGGTGGGGCTTGAACTCTGGGCCTGGGTGCTGTCCCTCAGCTCTTTAGCTCAAGGTGAGTACTCTACCACTTGAGCCACAGCGCCACTTCCAGTTTTCTGGTGGTGTATTGAGATGAGTCGCATGGGCTTTTCCTGCGTGGGCTGGCTTTGAACCTCGATCCTTAGATCTCAGCCTCCTGAGTAGTTAGGATTACAGGTGTGAGCCACCAGCCCCCAGCTTTGCCTTTCTTTTTCCATTACAATGTCATAGTATGCGACAGGAAAGAGATTACCAAATGTGCTGTTTTTTTTCTCCTATAGTGCTAATGATCCCCTTAACTCAGTTTAGAGTAGTGTCATTTATTTAGCTAGTCAGTATTTTCACTGGTTCCTCCTGATTGGACTGTCTGGCATTATCAAACACTAAGAGTGTTTACAATTTTTTGATACTATAAAATAAGTGTTAAGTACTGTAAGATTCTTTCAAAATTTTGATCACTTGTGCCTTGAGACATAAACAAGTTCAGATGTAGGCATATCCTCTGCTCTGTTGCTATAGTTAACTAGTAAGTCACTCTGTCTTTTAAGCACGTTTGACAGTGCAAGTGGCCATCTGTTGGCTTCTCTCCTTAGCAGTGTTTGACATGCCTTTTTAACTCATATTACAAGTACCCTTTAGTTATACTGGGATCTAAGTCTAGGATAGTAGTGCCTAGTCCCCAAGTCTTTACTCTGTCTTATTCCTCTGCCACTGAATTTCCTTCATTCTTTACTGAATCATTTTTTTCTCTCTCCACAGGCTGATGAAGACCCTATCATGGGGTTCCACCAGATGTTTCTATTAAAGAACATCAATGATGCTTGGGTTTGCACCAATGACATGTTCAGGCTTGCCCTGCACAACTTTGGCTGACCTCCTCCTGACCACTTACTCATGCTGTTTCCTCCACCTCCTTTTTCTGATACTATCACACTCCTCCAGATGCTCCAAATATCATACACAAACAAGCAGGGCCGAGGTGGGAGTAGGTGCAGTGCTCTATCCCCCCACCAAGGTGTTGTGCATGATGTTTGGATGTTAGATTAGTTGCATCTGACAGGAGAAGTTTGTGTTGTACCAGCGCATGCCTTGGAAAGACTTAAGTAATGCAAAAGGTTGTCTTTTTTTTTTTTAATCTACTGACAAGATGCTCTAGTAACCCAAAGAAGTGAAGGAGAAAGCAGCTGCCTCACCGCCCAGATACTGATTTGTTCAGATGTTTCAAATGCCTCATGATACAATAAAACCACAAAAATTTTCTTAACAGTTTAAATTGTTTTAATTAGTTTAGTAGTTGGCTGGGTATCAGTAACTACCCTGCCCTCATTGTCTTTCTCATGTCTTACCCTCTCACCTCTGCCTCAAAATTCAGCAGTACTTGCTGCATTTCTGAAGCAGTACTCCCAGCTAGCTTCTCTCAAGTCTGAGGGCAGGGTTCTCCACAGCCCACCTGATCTTGGGAATCCAGATGGAGAGCTCACATTGGCCTGACTCTTCTCTTGCACTGAAAACTCTGTAGTTAGCCCTAACACCTTCTGAGGTCTCTGCTCTGGGCAGATTCAGGGCTTTACCAGCTGGAGAAATAACCCTAAATCCTAGCTGGAGAAGCCCTGGCCAACTTGGTCCACCAGGTCAGGCTCTCTGGCCTTGTTAGCATGATGGAGGAGTCTGCTCCATCCCTGAAGGGTTAGAATCATATTCAGGGTGCTCCACACCCCATGTCAAGCAGAGGACAGTTCAGATCCATCTGCTTAGGATATCTTTACCCACAGCCAGGCCCTGTTGGGTTGGAGTATAGATTCTGAGCTATGGAAGGAGTCTCTCTGAGCCAGAGGGATTCATTTTATAGTTCTCAGACCTCTTCAGGGGCATTTCCAGGTTATTTTCTATTCCGCCACTCAATAACATACATCCCCACACCACTATCTACAAATCACAAATCACCTTAACTATTAGGGCAGTTTCTGTTCCTCAGTTTTAAAGACAGAGGCCTTGCCTAGTACAAATCTAGCTCCTCGTCACTGAGCCTCTGGATGGTTGTAAAGCTAGTAGCAAATAGCAACTGAAGGTTGGAATCTAACCCAGGATTTGGGTTAATACTATTAGGGGTTTTAGGATTGAGGAGGGCAGGCACCCTGGCTCACCTGTATTGGGATAAATACCCTCTCTCTCACTATGGGGTGAGGGTAATATTTCCTCAGACCTCAGAGGTTACCTGGCTACACTGAACACAGAGCTATTTGAAGAACAGTACAGTCTGGAGGTTTCAGTGGTACTGATCTTGTGTATTTGGGTAGTGGGGGTGGGGGAGAGGTAGATGCTTGCTGCCTCTGAAACCACCCTGTATAAAATCTGCAATACAGCTTCTAACATGTACCATGTACCTGTGCCTGAAATGTCTGCAATAAAGAGGTGTTTGTAAACTGTGGTTTCATTCTTCCTAACCTAAAGGGTGCCACGTGGAGCAAGTGAATGCTGGGGAACAGTAGAGAACAATGGTTTTCTTTTTTGTGCTAAAAGTGCCCCCTGCTCTTGCAAGTCCCAGGCCTTGGAATCTTTCAGATGCCTTCAGGTTTTGGTTACAACTACTCATTTCCCAACAGAAAAGTAGTTTCTGCCCATTCCCATATATTTCTCAGGATCTGAAAAGGGGCAACCTCAAGTCCATCCCGCCCTAGAACTACCTAAAATTCATTATAAAGTGGACAGGGTGTAATCTGAGGCGAGTAGAGCTTCAGGTGGCCCAGTACTATGCGCGGACATCTGCTCTGCTAAAGTTGTGGAACTTCCCCGTCCGGGTTGGCTCGGGTGGAGCAATCAGAGGAACCGGCGCTGGTAGGAGTCAGGCATTTCCCTCCAGCCCGGAACCTTTATTCTGTGGCCCTCGCAAGTTCCGGGAGCGGAGTTCAAGGGGGCCGGAAGTGGAGGCGGTTGGTGAGGTTAGCGGAGACGGACACGGCACGGCGGCCGTTTAATAGCTGTAGGTGGACTGGGTGTAGCGACCCGCGTCTCGCCGTCTGGCTGGGTTGCGGCCGGGCTAAGCTGAGTGGTGAGCGGCGGCAGCGGAACTAACGCCATAAGGTGGGACTCCAGAGGCTGGGTCCATGGCCTCCTGCGCGAGCATCGACATCGAGGACGCCACGCAGCATCTGCGGGACATCCTCAAGCTGGACCGGCCGGCAGGGGGTGAGCAGAGATAGCTGGGGTGGTCCCTTGGCAAAGAAGGACACGGGCAGCGTGGGTCCGAGCCGTCCTCGGGGCCAGCCGCTACCTTAAGATCGACTCTGGATCCTCCTGGCTGGAGGTCGGAGTCATAGATCTCTGAGCGTTCCCAGCGAATGGCGCACACCCCTGGGTGTGACCCCTCCCCATCCTGTCACCAGATCGTTCTGCCATGTCCTTCAGCTTCTCCACCGAAAACGACGCTCCTTTGGTTTCCGTGCCCCCTACCCCCCAGATTTGTATTTCTGGGACTGGCCCAGTGTCCTTAACTCTTTCGCCATTGGTTCAGAAGCTATGTATGCCAGGTTCTTGGCCTAGAGTTAAGCTTCCACTGTGCAACTTGCCCTTACTCTCTGAAATGCAGACTTCGGGCCTACAGTTGCTCCGAAACATTTTCTGGAGAAAGGTGGCCAGCCCTAATTCTGTGTTCTTTCCGGGGTGAAGGCAAACTATAGACTGCAGGGCTGTGATTGGATTTGGCATTCACTTATCTGTAAGCCTATTTGATTCCATTCATTCACATTTTACTTGGTCTCCTAGAGGAACTTTAGAGTTACTCTTACAAGCCAAGAACCCCCAGGACAAGGAGAGCTAACAGGATTGTAATACAATGTTGTCATTTTTAAATAGTAGAGTTTGGGTAATGGGGATGAGGGGCGTCTATGGAGAAGAAACTGGAGATGAAGCTTGCAGGTCTGAGAGAAAGAACTGGGCTATGCTTCAAAATACAAACAGGAGTTTGGGTGTCAGGAAAGACTTGTTAGGTACTTACATGTAGACAGCCACGTATTACCAAGCTGAATGGCAGGTGTGGCAGATTCAGAGATCTTTGGTAAGTTATAAGGATTGAAGGATGGGCTGACTGGTGATGATGGTGGTTCAGTGGTGATAGCTGAGAATTGATATTTCTTCAGACTTTGTTCTTATCCCTCCTGAGTAGCTCAAACTAGTTGCTGCTGGAAGCAGGCATTGTTGCTCAATGGGTGAATTTAGGAAACCCATACTCTGAGATACTTCATCTGCTGTCTGAGACCACTGGGTCATTGCCCACACCTAGAGTATGTGTTCCCTTTCAGTATGCATCTCTGGTGCTCATCTGTTGACCAGACTACACTCCACAGAGATTTGGTAGAGTCTGGCATGGCCGGCCATGTGCAGCCTGGACATGCTATTTGTTTATCCTCATGGCAGGCTGCAGAGAAGGGAGAGTAGCTAGTTTATTCCAGAGCAGCTAAGGTGCTCTGGTCTTAATGAAGTAGCTTAGTGGCTTTCCTCATAACTTCTGTTTATTTATTGGCACTTGAGTTCTTGTTTGCCAAGAAGTTCTTGCTGGTCTTTTCTTACTGAAGGACCAAATTAGATCTCAGACTGTTTTGTGAGTGGAAACTTGCTATATTCCTGAAGCCCTAGTCTCCTTGCCAGCTAGACGTTTTGGCAGTAGTGTCTGAACTAATGAGAGTGTTTGAAACTCAGCTAGAAGCCAGGTGTGGTGGCGTATACTTGGTAGTAGTAGTGATCATTGATCTGTAATCCCAGCACTTGGGAGGCACAGGCAGGAGGACTTCAAGTTTGAGCCAGCCTGGGAAACATAATGAGACCTTGTCACCAAAAAAAGGTGCCAGTGGCTTACCCCTGTAATTAATCCTAGCTACTCTGGAGGCTGAGATCTGAGGATAACAGTTCAAAGCCAGCTCAGGTAGGAAAGTCTGTGAGATTTTTAGCTCCACTTATTCAGCAGAAAACTGGCTATGGAGCTGTAGCTCAAGTGGTAGGGCACTAGCTTTGAGCAATAAAGCTCAAGAACAGTGTCCAAGCCTTGAGCTCAAGCTTGAGTACTGGCACAAAAAAGAAGAAGGAAAAAAAGAAAGAAAGAAAGAAAGAAAGAAAGGAAGGAGAGGGAAGCTCAGCTAAATGCTATTATTCCTGACTTCTTTAGTTTGTCTCCTCCATATTCACCTCTTTCATGTCCCTTCTCCTGAGTTTGCCTTTCCAAGTGGCTTTTCCTGAGCCATTTCTCTGTGGGGCAGGCCTCTTCCTTTATCCCACATGTAATTGGTCTGGGGCCTGTTATATGTCACCCAGATTCTCAGCTATTCTGAATGCAGCCAAAGAGCAGTCACCCCACTGGCCAGAGCTGACCTGTCACCTTCCCTTTTCAGCAGTCTAGGGGCTGAGGCAGGATGATACTGAGTTTGAGGCCATCCTGGGCTACATATATAGATTCTGACTTGAAAAGAAACAAACAAAAAATCCAGCAAAACCAAAACAGAACCATGTTTGGGGACTAGTTAGTATAGCACAATGGTAGAAATTAGCATGCTTGCCTACGATGTGCTGGCCCTGGTTCTATCCTCAGCACCTCAGAAGAGAAAATGAAAAAATACAAAATTCTTTTGTTGTCCTCATACCAACAGAGAGAGTCGAAGTACCTCAATGTCATACCTTAGGCTTCTGTAGCCTTGTTTTCCTTCTATCCTTCTTAAGTTTTTGGTACTCCCTCTTTGGAAGCTTTCCTGACTTCTGAAGCAAGAGCTCATATTTGTCAATCCCAGCCTGAATGTTAGCTGTCCTTCGTGGATTTTTTTTTTTTTTTTTTGAGGTGTTAGGGATTGAACCCAGGGCTTTATACCTCACACATGGTAAATAGCTATGCCTCTAGCCCCATCAAAAATATCTTCGATGGCTGTTTCCCTCCCCCAGGATGTCTCATGCTCACCCTTGGCCCTGGCTTACATCAATGTTTATGGAATGAAAGGTGAGCATGGACATGTTGTGTTCAGTTGAGTATTCCTAGAGCACCTCATGATCTGGAAGGAAGCTCAGCAGGAAGAGAGGTTGATGGAAGAGGAACAGCCTTCTCAGATTGATGCTTTTTGTCCCCAGGCACCACTGCAGAAAGCCAGAGGCCACCTAGTACCTACAATGGGGACCTTAATGGGCTCCTGGTTCCAGAGCCCCTCAGCTCAGGTGATCGTACGTCAACAAACAAGCCTGGTTTGCGGACCATGCCACCCATTAACCTGCAGGAGAAGCAGGTCATGTGAGTACCTGGGAGATGGCAATGGGGGTGATGGTGTCTTTGTGGCTTCTGCTAGCTGAAAGCATTAAGATAAGGGCAATAGGGGCCCGCAGACTTTACTGCTCCCTGTCTGGATGATCTTGGGCAGAACACATATCCACATTAAGCTTAAAACAGGATGAGAGCGGTGTGTGTGTGGGGGGGGGGGAGGTATGATTGGATGGGGGGAGGGGGGAGGCTGGGAAGGGAGGTGAAGGGTAAACAAAGGAGGAGGCTGCAATGCTTGGTAAGAAATGTATGCATTATCCTGCCCATGTAATTGTAACCCCTCTGTGCAGTATGTTCTCAAATAAAATAAAATAAAATTAAAAAAAAACAAAAAAAAAAACAGGATGAGAGGTTAGGACAAGCTCAAGGCTTCACCTGACACTATAGAATGAAACTTGTCTTATTCCAAAGGAGCAAGGGCAAATGTGTGGATCTGGGAACAGTGGACCAGGCAGAGTTGGGAATCTGGGCTTAGAGATCTACAACAAGTGGTTGTTTCTTCCTAATCCTCCATTGACTTGTTGGTGAAAAAGAGACAAGGATTGTGTACCTTCCCTCCAGCTGCCTCTCTGGAGATGACAGCTCCACCTGCATTGGAATTTTGGCCAAGGAGGTGGAGATTGTGGCCAGCAGTGACTCTAGCATTTCAAGCAAGGCACGCGGGAGCAACAAGGTACGTACCAGGATGTTATGACACATATAGTGTATGGGAGCACCTCCAAGCCCCTCTGTCTGTTCTCCTCATTCTGCCAGTTCCTATGG